TGAATGAAAGTAGTTGGCCATTTCATAGAGAATGAGAGATTTACAATAGGGAAAATTCACAAACTTTGACTTATGATTTCGCTTTGATTGAAGAGAGGTGACAGAGATTTTATTTCTTATATCGATAGAGGGAGTCGAGCTGTACATAAAACCATTTCGATATTTTGACCTACCCCCGCATCATAGAAAATAGAGCTAATCTTCGCAGGTGTATATTTTCTGTTTTATTCACCATATCTTACAATTTTGCTGATCATAGCTCCCAGAGAATAGATGTTACTTCATGGTCTTCACACTGGGGCACAGGAAGACCCCCCACTAACATCACCAGTCACCACCATTTTCATCCAAACCCTAGACTCGCCCCAATAGGTGGCTGAAAATTGACCAAAAATGACCTGAAAAATGGCAAAATTGGCCAAAAATCACCCAGAGGCTGTTTCTCAATAACGGTGAAATTTTGACATTGGCCCTTCTGGCTGTGGGGAAGTCTATAAAATCCCCCGGAGATGAACTCGATCTGCCGACCCCCCATCTTCCCGATTTTGCATGGTTTTCACATGGAATGACTCTTAAGTTGTTATACACTGAATTTTTGAATTTAAAATTCAGCCAATGACCAAACAGATTTCAAGAGAGTAAATTGGCTGTTCATTATAGTTTGTCGACAGGTATGCACAGTTGACCTGGTGGTTTCAACAAATTATATAATTTGGTTACAGGATCTGATATAGTCATTAAAATCTAACTAGCCGGATCACCCAACAGTCAGACCGTGTTCAAATAATCTTCGTCTTTATTTCATTGACTTATCTTAAGAATAATTTATTATCTGTTATTTTTGTTGTGAAGATCTACATTTACTGGCATTTTTGGAGGGTGGGGTGGGGAATTCCTTTGAGTGTCAGCATGTATCACTATTTCATTCATATTATATACACTATTTTATACTTTAATTTTTTGTGGTAAGCTTATCTTAGTTTGTCATTTGGTATCACAATAAATTAAAGAAAATTCCATCCAGGAAAATTCTGTTGGAAATGTTTACATAATTCACACAAGTGCATCAATAAATTATATTGTAAACAATAGTATGAATAAAAGGCATCGCCAATTTATGAAATCTGTAGTATAGAACATTGTTACAACATTATTTAGGAAACTATAGTAGGCTATTTGTTAAAATGGTTTAAGTACAGTATACATATAAATTCTACAGAAAACTATAGAAGGCTCATCCATTATTTTTTTCTCCACAAAATCTATAGAAATGTTTTTTTCCACAGTTTTCTAAAGAATGTCATAGAAAACTATAGGATTACACAACTGACTTGAGACAATAACTTACTTCTATAGAAAACTGTAGTTTTTACCACCAAATGTATGGGAACCACACAGCTGACATGAGAATACAAGTTAGTTCTATAACAAACTATAGCTTTTACCACAAAGGTTTATAGAAAACTGAAGGATTACTCAACTGACTCGAGGATACAAGTTAGTTCTATAGAAAACTATAGCAGCACCAATGAATCTATAGGTTTATTTTTTTCCCCAATTGTTTCTTACATTATTCTATAGAATTCAATAGGAAATTACACTTGGAAAATACTAATCTACCAATACTACACAAAACTTTAGTACATGTTTTTGAATCTATAGTCATGTGAAAAAAACTACAAAATGAATTCGTTTTCCTGCAGCATTCTTTTGAATCTAACAAACTTCTATAGAAACCTATACTTTTTATACGCCCACATTTTTATGTGGACGTATATTGTCGTCGCCCCTGTCCGTCCGTCCGTCCGTCCACAATTGTTTGTGAACAGTCTACAGGTCACAATTTTTATCCGATTTCAATGAAACTTGAAATATAGGTTTATCACCCTAAGATCTCGGTTCCTTTCGATATTGGCATCTATCGGACTGTAACTTCATGGATTATGGCCCCTGATTGTACGAAAAATTACGTTTTTGGCTTGTGAACACTGTAGAGGTCACAATTTTTATCCGATTTTGTTGAAACTTGAAATGTAAGTTTATAACCCAAAGATCTCGGTTCCTTTCGATATTCGCGCATATCGGAACGTAACTTCCTGAATTATGGCCCCTGATTGTACGTAAAAAGGCGTTTTTTGACTTGTGGACCCTATAGAGGTCATAATTATTATCCGATTTAAAAAAACGTATTATTATATCACCGTTAAACCCTAAGGGCGGTCGAGTTCGAATTTCGTGAAAATCGGCCCAAAACTGACAGACAAAATGGCCGCCGTTCGTTCTCAAATAGCGTAAAAATATGGTATATCAAGGTTGTGGACCCTATAGAGGTCACAATTTTTATCCGATTTTGTTGAAACTTGAAATGTAAGTTTATAACCCAAAGATCTCGATTCCTTTCGATATTCGCGCATATCGGACCGTAACTTCCTGAATTATAGCCCCTGATTGTACGAAAAATCACATTTTTAGCTTGTGGACCCTATAGAGGTCACAATTTTTATCCGATTTAAAAAAACGTATTATTATATCACCGTTACACCCTAAGGACGACTGAGTTTGAATTTCGTGAAAATTGGCCCAAAACTGACAGACAAAATGGCCGCCCCTTGTTCTCAAATAGCGTAAAAATATGGTATATCAAGGTTGTGGACCCTATAGAGGTCACAATTTTTATCCAATTTTGTTGAAACTTGAAATGTAAGTTTATAACTCAAAGATCTTGGTTCCTTTCGATATTTGCGCATATCGAATTTTAATTTCCTTAATTATGGCCCTTGATTGTAGGAAAAATCACTTTCGTTTAGCTTGTTTTCTATCCATCATTCGAAAATGTGGGCGTATACTGCCTGGCAGCCGTTGGTTCATAAGGGTAAAGTTATTACTTCTAGAGTTATGACCATTGTTTCACTTCGTTGTACCTTGTTGAAGCAGCTTTAGAAATTACGTATGTTTTATTTTTTAAATTGTATATGTTAGAAGCGGCATCTTTTGGTTTAGTACAAATAATATCTCTGAAACACTCAGGTTAGGCAAGAACATGATACTAGCAGTAGTTTCATTTAACTTTTACAAGGTTCTTAAAACAGCTGTTGAGTTGCCTAACGTGCATGTTTCTAAATTCAATTTCTTATTCCAGCTTTCTGTTATGTTTCGTAAAAAAGTAGTCTTGATTACCCAGCCTGCCAATCAGACGTAGAATGGTCAGTAGACTGGTTAAGCGAGACTAATTTCAAAACAAGGGCACGTAACCTATTTTTTACTCAAAAGTGCCCGGATTATATGGCAGACACTTATAGCCATTTTTCAGTCTATTATTTATGGATGGTTAAATGGTCATAGCCTTTTTATGAAGTACAACATAACGTTTTTTTTAGTGACTATAAATGTGGTTATTTCCAATAAAAGTATGGTAATTTTGGTATATATGGAAAGTAGAGATATCCAATCTTACTAGAAAAATACTGGATTCCCCGAAAAAAACTCATGGAGCGTATACAGGACAAAAATGTAAGGGTTCCCCTAATCAACAGCCTGACGATTAGGAATTTCTGCACACGTTATGTCAAAGGTCACACGCGAACATTGAGCGCTTGATGTACAAGTTGATAAACTTTATGAAGAGTTAGACGTACAACACTTTCTGAGATAAAAATGACGGAAAAAGATGCGGGTAGTGGATAATCCAAAAATTTAATTAGGATTCGATATTTGTAATAAATAGTAAGCGATTAAAGACAACATCGCCTTATGTATGCAATGAATTCTCCTCTGACTTCCAAGAGAGGTAAGTCACGTGACGTAAACATGACCTGGTTTGATCGAATTTTTATAGCAGGACATTCCTTCGCAATAACAATGTTTGAGAATGGATTTGAAGCAAAGTTATGACAAATTAATTAGTTTGAATATGTTTTTAGTCCATATATACCATTAAATCACCCAGTTTGTACGCGGGAACCCATCTTTAAGGCTTGGTATATATATAAATATTGTGGTGTAATTGTTGAGATATTTGGAGATATTTATTTATGGTGGGGCACCCTAATAAAAGAATAAACATGCGACAACACTTGTCGACTGACCAGATGATTTAGCTGCTGTGGGCTTATGTTTCGTTGCCAGGCAACCTATCTTGTGACAGATTATTTTCAAATTTAGTTTGAAGCATTGTGGTCATGAGAGGACGAATCCTATCAATATTCAACTGTCTAAAATATTCTGTTGTGGAGTTATCCCCCCTTTGACGAAAACCTTGAGGCTACATTTTTGAACGAAATTTTGTCAAATTTGGTTGATGAGCGGATAAACCCTATCAATTTTCAGCTTTCGACGACTTTTCTTTCCTGATTTATCCCCCTTTGTCAGAAACCTTGTGAACACCATAGATGGTATAGTTTTTATCAGCTTTCCTTGACTTTTTGTTTCGGATTTTACCGAAAACCTTGTGTATGAGATATATGCTACAGTTTTTAACAGATTTTTTCTTCAAATATGGTATGAAGCATTGAGGTCATGAGAGGACAAAACCCTATTGATATTCTGCGTTCTGCGACTTTGTGTTCAGTAGTTATCCCCGCTTTGTCAAAAACCTTGTGAACAAGATAGAGGCTATAGTATTTAACAGATTTCTGTCAAATTTGGTGGGAAGCATTGGATATTAAGCTTTCTGCCAATTTCTGTTCCAAAATCTTCAAGTCTGAACATCCAAGTTTTCCTTTGGATAATGGACTTTATTTTATTATACGGTCCATGGTTGTTTCATTTCTGGTTTGGCGATGTCAATTGTTGTAATTGATGAAATCGTGTGATGTGAATGTAAGTTTCTCATAGAATTTTAGAGCTCAATGGATTGCTCTGGGGGTGTAAATGATTTAAAGAGTATTTTATTTTGTTTGAAACTTTATAGCTAGAACAGGTGACTTTGCTGCTGGTGTATGGTGCCTGAAAACTCTTATGTTTGACTAGTTTTGACTTGTTACTTTCGATTTTATTTTCAGCACTGGTTCTGTATTTTGTACCAGCTGGGTTGTACTGCTTGTATAATAATTTGGCATTTGTAAATTTAGCCGAATATGACCCAGCAACCTATTTCTTGTTACTACAATTTCGAGTTGTTCTTACAGGATTAGTATTTCAGGTTTGTTGTGTTTATTATATATCCCTTTACTTTTCAAGATTAAAAATAATATAATTAGACATTTAAGCCTACACTCCCATTGATTTACATGAAATTTTCCAAATCATGGGTTGGGTTCATTCGAATGCTTGTGCATAGATTTACTTGCCTAAACTTGTAAACTGTCTTCAGTTACTATGGTTTCCTCCTACTTCTTATAACATTGTGTTACTTCAGCTCCCACCCCCACCCCCACCCCCACCCCTGAATAAGATACTAACGATTATCGTGCTGGTACTGCGGAAATGTTGGAAGAACGGGCTATCATATTTACTGGCCATTCATTAGTAGCCTACCAAATATTTGATGTACCACACGGTGTCAGTAGAACGGACTGTCATATTAGGGGATAAATGGAATAACAGGGTGTCTGTATAACGGGCTGACAAGAGTACGGCATTGACTTCAACTAAAATCATTATTATTGTCAACTGGAGAGTTCACAGGAAAGTTCAGTGTGTAAGGAAGCCATGTTAGTGTCTTGATAATATTTGTGTCTAAATAGTAAATAAGCAATATGGCATTTTAGCATGCGGCCATCATTAGTTACCTCTAATACCCTGAAATTGACGAAGGTGGTACAAGTGCGAAAGTGTATATTAGGCCCAGTCCAGCCCCAAAAAATTAAAAGCTCAGTATATCACATATTATGCGTCGCTATCTGAAATTTTCATCTGATTTTGACAAAACTTAAAATATATGTTTATATCACAAGATCTCGAATGGATTATGGCCCCTGATTGTACGAAAAAAATATTTTTTAGCTTGAGGACCCTCTAAAATCTCCATTATGTCACCATTCGTCCACTCTGCTGTGGTCTTATACAAACTCTTGCAAAACAGGTGGAATTGACAGGCAAATCTCTAGATTCTGTCCCATTTCTGATCCTCTCGTTCACAACAATTTACTCCTGAAATTCACTAATTTCCATTTATTTCTACTAGAGTTATGGCCCTTGTTTTACTATGTAGAACCTTGTGAACGATCTAACGACAAAGGTTACAATCCGATCTGATTATTTAAATTAAGTCAATTGACTAAGTGTCGAACATTTTTACCGACAATAAAGGGACTTATCGTTAATGGAGGCAGACCACCATTAATTTCCCTGTTGACTTCAATGTTAATTCTGGCCTCTTTGCACACCTCCAGCATACTAAAAACATGTAACTATTGGCCGTACATATCACTGGAACCAACCTGATAACTCTGTTATCCTTCTGCCTCAAAATCATGAATATTTACCCAAACCTGGCAGAAAATGTTAATTCAAACCCTCTTCGTCCATTCTAGACCAAAAAATCAACAAAAATGGGCATGCAAAAGGGGAGAAACGAGACAGAGAGAGAATTGCTATAAATGGACGAACTACAATTTGTGGGTAACGAGATGGTGAAATTTAATGGTGGTCTGCCTCCTATATGGTTTTATAAGTTCATATATCATCAAAATTCCTTTGTTTATTGCTTCACATTTATTTTTGCAACATTATTATAATACAGAATCAAAAAAAAAAAAAAAAATAATTACTGCAGAAATGGTGACCCTTTAAAGTTATGTACTGTTTTGTATACCGGGTTGCAGCTCAGGTCCATGGGCCTTTTATTCTAGAATTGAAGATTCTTTTTTAATTTTGTCAAAATGTGAGTTATTCAAAAAGATTTAAAGAGTTTCAAACAAGTCACATCATAAATATTCAAAATATTGGAATATTTTTCAAAAATGACTTTCTTTTACCTTTTTCTACAAAATGGTCCATTTTTTACACTTTGTATGTCTCATATAGTCTCTGTCTACCAGAAAAATATTCTACGAATATTAGCCTGGATGTTTTGTCAACATTTGAAAATAATAGGTCATCGGCTAGATTATCCGGTCTTTTACATTATCATAGGGACTTCAATGTTAAATGACTGTAACATCACAGGCTGTAGCTTTTTGCTCAACATTCCGTTGGTTCCAATCTTTATAGGCACAATGGGGACTACATTTGGCAATCTCCTCATCATAATTTTGTAGGTGGTTGACCATTTAGATTTTTTGCTACGGGGATTTGAAGTTGACTGGGGTGAAAATCTCACCTCCGACACAATGATTGCTCTGCAGAAGGACACTTTACACCCCCTATCCCTCCGCTCTAATATCATCAGTATTACCCAAAACTGCTATGAAATTGCAAATTTGATCCCTTTTCTCCAATTCTAAACCAAAAAGTCAACCCAAAAATGCAGGAAGAGGGGAGAAGAAAATTAAGGAAAAAATTGTCTATTTATAACTCGCACTACATTTGTCCATCATGAAATAAGGGGAAATAATTACTAATCTGAGTCCTATATACCTCACATGTTGCTGCTGTCTGAACAAATCTGTTGTTATCTAATAAACAACCATATATGCAATGCCCTGGCCAAAGATTATGAAAATCCATGCATTTTCAGATGAACAAACACTATAATACATCCGAAAACTGGAATTTCAGACAGAAATTTAAAAGCACATGAATTTTGAATTCCACCCATTTTTATTTTTGAAAATAAATGCATTCTGTAAAAAGATGAGATAAATTCAATATAAATCAAACACGACAATATTTTAAAACAGTAATCATGATGCAATATTAGACTTTTTAACACTTTCATCGAAAACCACACAGTTTTTCTCTGTTAACATAGTTTCAAGTGTCAAATTGTGGTCAAATCTAAGATGTTGAAAAATGCTGTGCCTATCAATTTTAAAATATCTCCTATATAGCTGTATTTCCATAGGATAAGTAAGTTGAAATAATCTGATTATGTAACACTACAACAGCTTTTTCATCTCCACCCCCCAGTATGGAATCTGATAATTTAAAAGCACATGAATTTTGAATTCCACAGAACATTTTTATTTTGGAACATAAATGCATTCTGTAAAAAGAAGAGATGAATTCAATATAAATCAAACACGAAAATACTTTAAAACAGTAATCATGATGCAATATTAGACTTTTTAACACTTTCATCGAAAACCACACAGTTTTTCTCTGTTAACATAGTTTCAAGTGCCAAATTGTGGTCAAATCTAGGATGTTGAAATATGCAGTGCCTATGAATTTCAAAATATCTCTTATAGCTGTATTTCCACAGGATAAGTAAGTTGAAATAATCTGATTATGTAACACTACAACAGTTTTTTCATCCCCACCCCCCCCCCCCCCCCCCAGTATGGATTCTGATACATTGCTGACCAATCATAGATCTCCCTGTTCACTCTGGCCTGTCAAATGATTTACAATGGCAATGGTGCCTACAACTTTCCTGACCAAGAGATATGCACAACCGTCAACACAAAAGCCATTTATGTTATCTTCCAATATGAGAGGCCATGATAAACACAAGGGTGTCCTTCTCAAGCTCGGAAACAAAGGCATCACCAAAAAGCAAAGTTTACAGAGGTCCTTGGCTGGAACCCAAATTGATTACGATTTGCCCTCCACTTCCTCAACAGGTGTCATAGAGATCAGGGATGAAATTGATATGCATCATCGTTCTACTAAAGCCAGTCCAGGAAGTCATCGGGTTTTGAGATGTAGACCTGAAATGTTAAATTTGGATGAGAATGAGAATTCTGGGGACAAATACTATCCAGGGAAACGGATCATTGACATCCAGAAAATGGTCAAAATGTGGAATTCTGTCATTCAGTTACATGCCAAGGGGAGAAGAAAGGTCTGTGCAGTACCAAATTTCCAGCCCGTTAGTGAGCAGATGTGGGGATTAGGTTGGATGTACTTCGTAAAGTGTATGAAATGCACATTTATCTCACCTGTTTTGCTTCTTTTATTTTATTACTTGTGTTGAGGTCAATCATTCCACTCTTTGAAACATTACCCTGGCACCTGAAATGATAGAAAGCTGGGGATAAATATGCAATAAAAAACAATGAGAAAATAAGAAAGAAAAAAAAATGGTTTCAACTGGAAATATGAATAAACCTCTTTATTTCTAGCGAACATCACGTCACTGGCCCTCCAACAAGAAACCAGTTAACAGTCAGTAAAATAGTAAACCTTGAGTGTCACATATGTCTAAGCCAATCTCAAAGGTAGATACCCATATTCCTGAAGCAATGCCCCGAGAAATCCCTCTCTGGCCATTGCTGGATTAGCTTCTGATACTTGCGCTTTTGAGGGAGTGTGTCTATTCTTCCCGTTCAATCACATCTATCCAAAAGCACAGCAACATGACAGCCTTTCGTTTAATCATGGCTCTTCCCTAAAAACTTTGGACATTGATTTAAGGTATTAAAAACGGTGAAAGTCTTGTTCGTCTCAAAACAATATTGTTTACATAATATCCACAGAGTAAAAATAGTGTTGACAGTTGTTTGTTACATAATTAGTTTTTCTGCAATATTCTGCTATGCACTGGTTAATTGTGCATAGTAAAATCGTACGTCATGACGTAAAGTTATGTAAACATATTTGGTCCAATTTGGAGCTTTGTTTGATATTGTTACGCAGTAAGCTTTTGGTTGTTAATCGGACTATTGACCAGTCATAATTTAGAACAAGAATTTGCTTTGTTTACAGCAGTGAGTAGTGGGATTAGTTCTAATCAAACGAAACACTGTGAGGTGTATGGTAGACACTATGTTTTGAGGTTTGCTCTAAATATTAAGGCCAACTGCAGGTTAGGTTAAAAGTCACACAGGTGTGAATTCTGGAGTGTACATGTTAACATTTCATTGTAGGATGTCAAAACATGGACCGTGTATAGATGAACAGTCCCGTTTGTTCGATTCTCTGCCGCTCGTGCGAGACACGGCGAGATCTCAATGTCAACGGTAAATCAAGCGATGTGATTTTTGACATTGCGGGATTTTATGCTGATTAATTTCTCGAACTCCTCCTTGGAATTTACGGTATTCTTATAGTTACACGGTAATTTTTCAACCCGATAAGTATTCCTATCCGGTAGTGACGAATTTGTCCAGTTTGAAACTTTGAAATTTCCAAATGCAGCAGTTGAAAATTGAGAAATTATCGATTTCAATATTTTCGTAGGTTTTGTAAGCATTTTGGTTTTGCTTAATACTCCAAATTCCCGTATGTATGAAGGATTTTAAAGTTATGAAAATAAAGTTCAGGTATAATACTGTCCGGAATGATGATTAATTGTGCAGAAGTAAAAATTAAAAGAGTGTTTTAGTAGATTTGATTTTAAGAAAAACTCGACGTTTTTTTTTTCGGATTCACATAGGTGCGTCCGAAGTAAACAAAGATGATGTGTCGATACATTTACACCCCAATCATCAGTTAGTAGTTTATCTATGTATGGGTTTAAAAAAAAAAAGAGTAGCAAGATTAATAAAAATATTATCAATCGATTTCTGTTTCTTTGCTTTTAAACTTAATACAGGTATTTGCGCGAGGGGAGCTAATTTAATTTAGTCAAGATTGCCAGGTCTCTCTTTTGCCGCGGCACAGAATTCTAAAGGCTTCGTGGGCGTTGCCTGTCCATCTATACACGGTCCATGGTCAAAACATGTTAGGTCTAAATATTAAGGCTAACTGCAGACTTGGTTCAAGGTCACAACATGTAGATACGGTTAGGGCACATGATTTTTTGACACAATTGTGGGCTAGGGTCAGGACTAGGTCTTGGTTTAGGCCTAGGCTACATGCTTGTCGACAAGATTGTGGGTTAGGTTTAAGAATTTGGGGGAGAGGTTAAGTCTCCACATAAGCACTGACCTAGGATGATGAAAAATTAGTTTGTGATATTTCCTAGTTTTATTAAAAATACATACAATACATTAGATTTATATACAAAGGCGATTTCACTGTTTTTTTTTGGTGTTGGTGGCGCTGATGATCTTCCTTGGATGGTGCTTCTGGTATTCTGGTATTATTGTTTCTGAAGAAAAAATTGGAAGTGGTAGACTAACGCCACCTGGCCTATGTTACTCCCCGGTACGAGCTACCCCTATACCCCTAGTGTAGCCGCTAACCCCGAACAGACAGACAAACGACAGTCACAAATATTAGTATCGATAAACCATTCTGTTTCTGGATTTTTATGTATTTTTGGTAGTGTATAGAGATGTCTTTGTCGGCAATCAGATTTAGCAGATAAATAATCATATTGTTTTGCTGTTAGTGTTATGTATTCCTTTATGGCGGTAGATTCAAAATTCTAACATGCTATCGTCTAATTTCTTACTTCCAGTCATGTAATTTCTAACTTCCATTCATGTAATTTCTAAATTAAGACAATGTATAATCCAACTTCTTTATTTGTTCAATGTAAATTTTAATTCTGTTTCATCTTATTTCTATTATTAAGACGAATAATGTCTACTTCATTGTCGCTTTACATGATGAACGTCAAACAAATTTAGAATTTTGATACTTCTACCAAGCAACCGTCATTATGACGTCGTTTGGTGTCGCCACCGTGTGCTCAATTTGGCGATTGAGCACCTGATCGGGACCATTCTGTTGATACAAACGACTCGCTCTTCGTCAGGTTGAATGGTTTGGCGGAGTGTTAAAATTGAATATACATCAAGAGAGAGAGAGAGAGAGGGGGGGGGGGGGTCAGCGTCCACACGACACAAACTAAATCATTTCGGGACTAACATATGGCTCAATTTTATTTCAATAATTCGCTTGCGCGTAGGGTCTTTAGCAGTGGGAGGAACCTGCAGGACTCAGAGAAAACCCATGAGGTTGGAAAGGCGAACATACTCCTTGTCACAGACAACCGGGAAATCGAAACCACACCAGTTGACTCGATAACAGACCTTATGATACAGCGCGCACGTGCTAACTATTCGGCCATCCAACCCCCCAAACAACATCGAACGTGATATGGTTTGCAAATACTATTTCAAATATAAGCTAAACAGCATTTGCTAATTTTTATTTAAGGCAAGTGCAGGAATCAAATTTTGTTTTTTACAATTGAGCCAATTAATATTTATATACTGTACGGTCTATTATTAACACAGGGTACAATTTTATGGATACACAATTACTGAGTTTGATACTAAGGATACACTCGTCTTTATCAAGCCCGTCTCTCTCTCTAAGCAAATTTTAGCACTCTGTCCAACCTTCAACCCGACCAAGGACGAGTCGTTTATATCAACATAATGGTCCCGACCAGGTGCGCAATCACCAAGTGAGCACGCAGTGGTGACACCAAACGACTTTCGATATTGGCACGTATTGGATCGAAACTTCATGGATTATGGCCCCTGTTTGTACGAAAAATCACGTTTTTAGCTTGTGGACCCTATAGAGGTCACAATTTTTATCCGATTTTTTGTTGAAACTTGACATGTAAGTTTATAACCCAAAGATCTCAGTTCCTGTTGATATTCGTGCATATCAGACCGTAACTTCCTGAATTATGGCCCCCGATTGTACAAAAAATCACGTTTTTAGCTTGTGGACCCTATAGAGGTCATAATTTTTTACCTGATTTAAAAAACCATATCATTATATCCTCGTTACACCCTAAGGAAGGTTGAGTTCAAATTTCGTGGAAATCAGACCAAAATTGCTGGACAAAATGACCGCCGTTTGTACGCGAATAGTATAAAAATATGGTAAATCAAGGTTGTGGACCCTGTATGGGTCACAATTTTAATTCGATTTTGATGAAACTTGAAATGCATGTTTATAACCTAAAGATCTTGGTTCCTTTCGATATTGTCGCATATCGAATTGTAACTTCATGAATTATGGCCTTTGATTGTAGGAAAAATCATTTTCTTTTTAGCTTGTTCTCTATCCATCTCTCAAAAATGTGGGCGTATCCTGCCTGGCAGCCGCTGGTTGTGATTGTGGTTGAAGGGATGATATTTCTATATTCATTTCGTCGAAAGTTTTTAGGATGGCTGGTGATAATGACTTTTTAGGCGGTTTTTGCTGTGAATAATTTTTTTACCTCTGCCTAGTTTGGTCCTAAAAAAATTAGTCAACGGAAGTGTTCTTTGGAAGCGATCGGTTTCCTGGTTGATGGGGTCTATGGATGTTATTGTGGGGGTTGGGATGAATTTAAGGCCTTTATCAAGAATATTCATTTCTAGGGGGCGATATAGATCCTGAGGAAGTAGGTGAGCCAGACACAACCCTGGGCGAACTGGTTGATCTAGCTGCATGCTTCGAGGGAGTGTTAATGCAAGTGCCTTCTCCAGGGGATAATTTTCTCTTGTTGGGTGTGTATCGTTTTGGTGTGTCCCGGAGAAGGTTGTGTGTAACTTGCATGGGTGAAGGTGGAGGGGGCGTGACAGTTTTAGAGACCATGGACAGTAGGCGATGGAACTCTGTTTTCACACTATCCTCACTGTAACATTGGTACCGTTTAAGCTGGCGTAAATAGCGTTAAATTCCACTCTGTGTCCAATTAGTCATAAATATTGTTGAATTTCGGCGAATAGTGCTCAATTTGTACTTCTATCGAATTTCAATCTCACTGTTTAATTTTGATCACTAAGCATCTAATTAATTAGTGTTTAGTTACTCGACACGTGTTGAATTATAAGCGTCCCGTCTAATTAGCACGACTGTTCAATAATTAGTTGGACCGTTCAATTTCCTGAGGGTAAGGCGCTGGCTCGCTAGCCTGGAGGTCGGGTGTTCGATCCCTGCATTGGCCGAGAAAGTTCATCCCGATTTTCCGGCGTGGTTTCCCCTTGTCAATGATGCAGGACGGAGGGCCTGACAAGGACAGCTGTCTAGTCATTCGGATGAGTCGAAAAAGCGAGGTCCCGTGTACAAATTGGCGTGCATGTAAAAGATCCCTTGACAGTTGGAATTCGATATAAGAGTAGTCCGTAGTGCCGCTGTCCGGGCAAAATTTCCCTCATAGCACACTGTATGGCGTATGCCCGTCTTCATTAGCCCAGTTCGGAGCAAAACAGTAGGACGTTAAACCCCATTTCATTTCATTTCATTTGTCAATGTGTCCAATTACGCAAGGTGTTCAATTTTGTTGTCAAACATCTAATTTCACGTGCGATGTTCAGATATTACGATTTGTTTAATTGTTGGTCATCGTTCAGTTTTGCCGCCGAATGTCTATTTTGCCGCACAATGTTAAAATACTGTAATAAGTGTTAGATTTAGTACTGACCTGTTGCGATACGGTGAAATATTATTGTTCAGGATTCATACGACGGCAGGTATCTGTAATGCCTGTTATTATCCGGGGATTATTTTTCAAGATCACTACGGTGAAACAGATGTTTGATTTTTAATGGCGACGGAACGGTTCTGAAACAAAGCTTACCATTTCGTCCACAATCATAAAACGTTCGTTCGTTCTTGGTGTTTAACGTCTGCTTCCACATAAGTGATATCGCAGACAAGACATAGGAGAGCCGAAGCTGATTCCTGTTTTTTAGAATATGATTTTGCAATCTTTCCATTTGGCCTTAGGCCATGGATTTGGTTTAGTGGGAAGTTCTTCCCTTTATTTAATATAAAACATATCGTTTGGT